ATGTGAGTACATTCATTGCCTAAACTATGCATGATGTATGCTGTCACGCAATGTAACATGGAAACATGTTTGGGTGTCGGTAGTGCTCAAAAGATCGCGGGATTTCGTTGTCTTTGTTGTCTTATCGCGAAGAGTTGTCTTTTATTTCTACACACTGAAAACAAATATGTTTGTTTACAGTGGCCTTAAATACTTATCTACCTCCTACAAAATCAACCACAGTTACTAATGAATTGATACTACACTTAAGACTTCTACCACAGAAGTGGATAGATGAAAGTGATGCCTAAAAGTGTGCTTACCATCATGGTGGTGAACACGGCTCACCCCAACCATAGATCACACACCATCCCTCACCCACCATTGACTCTCCACCCTCCTTACACCACCCTCTACCCTCAACCCTCAACCCTCCACACACCACACACCACAAACCACAAACCACACACCACGAACCACATACCACCCTCCATCCTCCACTCACCACACCCAACCCTCCATCCTCCACGCTTCACCCCCCACCCTCCACACACCACCCTCCATCTTCCACCCTCCACACACCACCCTCCAGATTCCAACCTCCACCCGACACCCACCACCCTAAACACACACCAACGTCCACACACCACCCTCCACCTTCCAACCTTCCACCCTCCACCCTCCACACACCACACACCACACACCACACACCACACACCACACACACACCAACACCATCCACCACCCTCCACACACCACACACCACCCACCACGAACCACCCTCCACCCACCACACACCACCCTCCACCCTCCACACACCACCCTCCACCGTTCATCCTCCACCCTCCACACAGCACACACCACCCTCTATCTTCCACCCTCCACCCACCACCCACCACCTTCCACCCTCCACACACCACACACCACACACCACCAACCACCCACCACCCACCACCCTCCACCCTCCACCCACCACACACCACCACCACCCACCACCCTCCATCCACCACCCTCCACACTCCACCCACCACACACACCCTCCACCCTCCACCCACCACACACCACCCACCACCCACCACCCTCCATCCACCACCCTTCACCCTCCACCCACCACCCACCACCCTCCATCCACCACCTTCCAACCTCCCCACCACCCACCACCCACCACCCACCACCCTCCACCCACCATACACCACCCACCACCCACCACCCTCCATCCGCCACCCTCCACAATCCACACTCCACACACCACACACCACACACTGACAGTGTTTAGATTGTCGTAAACAGGTTCTCTAAATGTCAGATAGTTTGAGGGAATATTTGTTCACCGGGAATTCTATAATATTCTGCCAAAGATAACCGGAGAATGCTTAATATGAACAATGGTAGTGCCCCAGACAGGAACGTTCAAAGCGCTAACGGGATTAAAATATGGAGAAGTATATGCGAAAGATTAGTAAGTTTTGTGTAACAGGTATGTCTTTAGTCTTGAATTATAGGCTCGCAAATATCAGGGTTGTCTGAGGTGAAACTTGAGATTACTGCTGAATAAGAGAACTTCCAGTTCCAAACGATGTGTGTTTATACTTATGGACATGAGTGGAGCTATTCAATGGAGGGGATGTTTCTGCTGGAACTGTAGGGATGAACCAGTGGCCGTATGCATATGTCGGGCGTAAAATCTAGTCCGGGCGTAAGTAAAATGTGCGCCCGGACGTAACGTTAAACCGGTATGCACATATTAGACGTAGTTAAAGTTACGCCAGTCGTAGCGCTCTATATTTCCACCATCTACCCAGCAGGCGTAAGCCAGGCGTAGCCCTGTAATGGCGGCACTGGATGCCGAAGTTTTTATCAGGCGGACATTTTCAAAAGGTTTGAAAAGTGGACGTTGTGCGTGAATTGTGCTCTTGTGGCCCTGGATCTGCGTACGGCTATAAAATTACACGGAAATGTAGCATATTTAATGTCCTATCCGTTGGTATAAATATAAGTGCGACTACCTCGGCGGTTTTAGAAATAGACACTGCTAAATGTTGTCCAATAATTTGTTAGGCGTTAAAAAACTGTCAATTTCTCCGCTTTTTGTCGTGCACCGATAAAAGTACTCTGCTACATTTTTTTTTAATTTGGCATCTTTACGGAAAGTGTGAGCGAAGAAAATACAGCCTGATATCTGAACGACATAAGAGTATATGAAATGGGTTTATGTGCTAATGCTTACCGTTACACGCTCAACATTAAAAATGACTCGCAATAAGTGCCAAAAATTGATTTTCTTCTATGACGTCAACCGACGACAGAGAGGTCAAACACGTATAAAGATAACGGGGCATAACTCCGACATGCTTAACACTAGGTCAAGGTATCTCAGATCACTTGGAGAAAAGTTGTTGTGGATACGGACGCTATATTTTCGTTATGTTGTGTTCACGGTCATCCAAACTATTCCAATTCAAAGTTCAACAATGTGAGCGGATACGTTTTGGTAGTTTCACAATTTATAATGTGGTGGTGGAATTGGGTTTAACGTCGCGCTTGAGAATATTTCGCTCATATGACGACGTGCATGCGTGTGTATGTGTATGTGCGGCTGCTTGTACTAGCCCAGACTGAAGCTGGTTTTATAGTGCTAGCCCACTGAGATACCATGCCGCAGTGAAGCATGAATACCCCACTCAGACACATTATACTGACTCCGAGCCGACCAGTCCTTGTTGTACCCATTAATGCCGAGCGCCAGGCAGGGACCAACAAGTACCATATTTTAACGTCTTTTGGTATGACACGGTCGGGGATCGAACCCGCGACCTTCCGCACTCCGGGCGGACGCTCTAACCACTACACCACGGAGGCGGTCTTCACAATTTATAAGAAAAGATGGCAATGTACTACTTGAGAAAGCAGGTAATAGCGATTTGGATGACCCTATCCGATATGTAAGTTAGTTCTTAGATTCCATATTCTCCTGTTTGTGTAGATGTATTATGACTAATTTTGGATCATTATTAACGGAGTACTAGCCATACCTTCAAATGTAATGAAATTACTGATAATAATATAACACTTTAGTTGACGTCATGGCTTGTCTTTTGCATTTTGCGACGTCGGAAAAAGACGACATTGGTTTGTTGATTAGTATATATCTTACCTAATTTCCATTAATTGCATAAAAGGTCTCGGCTTCTATGTCAGAATTTAACACTCTTTAGAGAAAACATAAAATGAATGATTTTACCAATTAAATAGTGTCCCGAATATATCAACAATTAGACAGTTTGACTGCGTATCTTATTGTGATCAGCACGCGCACCTGTTTGGCATCAATTTAACGTAAATGAAAAATAATATTTCACGACACCCAAATATTTTGCAGTTATGGCTAAGTGTGATTCTCTAATACTTGTGTAAAGGTTAAAAATATGGTGTTATACACGAAATGTGTCAATTTCTTATGTAAATATTATTGAAACAATCAAAAACTTTCAAAGAATTAAAAAAAAACGCCTACCCTATATCCACGTATAATATGGTATTGAGCAAGGCTAAATGTATATACCGATATTAGTTTGATGAAAAAATATCTGAACGATACGCAAAACATACATCATAATACTGAAAGTGTAATCGGAAGGATAGGGCGATTGTGTTTACTCTTGTTCAACCGACCTTCACCTCAAAGAAAATGCCTAATATGTACAACAATGTTGACGTATGACATCACTACCGATGACCGATATCTTACAAAATGGCGGCCTCGCTGACAAGGGTACACAGGATTTTTCGAGGACCCTTCCACTGATTCAGGTATCGTTGGTACATAAAATATGAGATGTAAGAAATCAGAATGATTTTGACTATCTATGTATTGTTATATGTTTAATCGTTTTCATTGTAAGTAAGAGAAGAAGACAGAAATGCTGGTAATTACCGTTGTCGTTCTGCGTGATATTGCGTCAGTCATGGCTTCACGCTGAACGGAAAATTTGACAATTTCTTATGAAATATCAAATCATTGCATTGTATCTGTTTTTAATTTCCCATTTCTTGCTACGATACTCTTTCCATGCATATTCTAAAGATATTGAGCCATTGCAAGCAATGAATAGACAGCTGGATGTCGGAAAAGTTCAGAAAAATGCTACGTAGTGTAAAATCGGAATTTGTCTTTGTTTACATTTCAAACAAGCGGAGCCTTTCGAGCACAGCGTTCGTTTGGACTTTTCTCACCGAATATCTTTCGTTTCAATTCATCAAGACAGTTGATATTGGTGACAAAGACCATTTGTAATTTCATTCTAAAATGTATGGGAAATTCAGTGATGCATTTGTCGCAGCTGAATATGCTATATACGTGATGTAATTGGCGTGTTTTCAGAATTATCATTAGTGATTTAATGAAAACCTGATATCAGTGATCGTTAATATGCTATTTTTGAAATTCAATACTTCTGAATAGCAATTATCCGATTTAAACATTTCAAAACTTACACCAAATAACGCTGTCAATCGTGATTTAGTAATGTGTGAAAAATGGCGACATTTATGATGGAGCCTATTTTGACAGTCCATGTTATTTCTCCATCAGGATCCATCGGTAAAGTTGGGTTTTCTCGGTTTTCTCTGGCTTTCCATGATTACGGCTGAACGGATGTACCGCGAAGTTGTTTCGCGCCTTTTACCGGTGGTTTAAAAACGTTCGAAAATCTAAAAATAGCACACTGCGCCTCGACGTAAATCCGTTAAGTCGGGCATAGTAACGCCTAGGCTTAACCGACGTTATGCATGACGTGTAAGAGGAGGGCGCTGCTAAGCCCGACGTACTGTGTTACGCCTGACGCTAGCTACGCCCGACATGTGCATACGGCCACTGGTCTTTTACATAGGACGGAGCAGTTCCATGAATACTAATGAACCAGTGATACCATCTTGAAGTCCAGTTTTACTTCTACTTTAAGTCAATGTAGTGATGTCAACACTGGTGTAATGTTTGAACGCTATTCAATCTGTAGTTTAGAATGGTTCTTACACGAGGTAAAGTTATCTGTACTACGCATAGAATACTATGGGCGATCACATGTTTAGCATCTCTTTGAACTTAATTGTTACATTCCGTGAACACCCTATTACTATAGCATTATATAATGTTTTCCAGTTGTCGATAACTCATGATGTCCGTCCAGGTATATAGGTGAATGTCTACCATAAATAGCATGAAAGAATATTCTTATGTTTTGTACGTACGCGAAGGAGTATTTTTATCGTTTGGTTTCAACCTAAGGTATAACGATATATTATACTGACATTGAGACATGATTGCGACAACCATCTTGATAGCATCATGGTCCCTTCAGAGGTTATCAGTTGCTGACGGCCTGTAGCCAATGTTTTTAATGTGGCGTGTAAAGAAATATCGTTGTATGTTTACGGGCTGGTTTCTAATGTAAATCTGTGATATTCCAGATATTGTACTGCCCTCTGTTGGCACGTATATCTATCGTGTAAGTCCGTTCATATTAATAAAATGCTTTCATAGTCTCGGTATGGCTGAAATACTGCCGTTGAGACTTTAAACAGATTTTCACTCACTCACCGAATAATTATAACATCAGGTGTTTCACAGGATTAACGTTGACTTAATCTAAGATTAAATTCATTTCTGTTTTAATTATATTTCAGCATCCCAAGTGTGTGGCCAGGCGAACTGTGACTGGGGGAAGTATGGTGAAAACTGCGACAAAGCTTGTCCTGAACACTGTATTTTCAACAAAGATAGAAACCTCCAGCACTGTCACAAGATCACTGGGAAGTGTTCCGAGGGCTGCATGCATGGTTGGCACGGCAACCAGTGCGATCATCCTTGTAGCAGACACTGCCTGAACAGCATCTGCAACCAACAGAATGGTCTCTGTGCCTTTGGCTGTGATGGAAGCTACACGGGAGATTTCTGTAACATGACTAAAAGTAAGATTACACAGATTCTAGTACTTTTGTTAGATTCAGTCCTATCCCTGATTCGAACCTACTTTGTCAGAGTTAGGCACCAGGGCCTAGATTTTCGAAGCTCTCTTAGCGCTAAGATAGTCGTAAAGTAATGTTAATGTATGGCACGACTATCTTAGCGCTAAGAGAGCTTCGAAAATCTAGGCAGTGATCGCCAGCTCGAACAGCCTGCCATCTAGCCCACTCAGCCACCACGGCTTCCACTGGTGATGTGTTGTCTTAAGTGTCAGGTTATCAGAGTCAGTCAAGAGTCGCCTGCTCTTACAAGTAGGCGAGCGAATGGGTGAGTGTGGTTCTACGCCGCTTTTGGCAATAATCCAGCAATATCATGGAGGGGGACACCAGAAATGGTACCACATTGTACTCATGTGGGGGATCAAACCCAGGTCTTCAGCGCGAAGAGAGGACGCTTTAACCATTCGTCTACTCCACCGCCCTACTAAGCCAGTAAGGCTGCTCCAGTATTTCAGCTATATCACAATGTGTCTGTTTCCCTGTGGGAGGGAAACCCGAAGTAATGAAATCTGATGCCAGCTCCTACAATTGAGCATTTAGTTTGTTTGTGTGTTGTTGATAATCGAGACTTGACCCAGTGGTTGACATAATGAGCATCAATCTACTCAACTGGGATAAGATTACGAGGGTCTTGGACAGTGCCTCCGTGATAAGTACTGGTTAGAACGAATGCTATGTTTAAAACATAATATTCATATCGTGCTGATTGAAGAAAAGGCGCGGCAAACTATCCGGGAATTATTGAATGGTGTGGTGGGGGATGATTAAAAGACAAAACCATTGTTCATCACAGTTAATACACAATGCCTTTTAGAATGTGGTCAAATGTATCATATGATATATGTGTGATTATCCTTTCTCGTTAGTGGCCTAGATTCTGATACTGGCGATGACTTGCTTGAGAGTGTTGGGTTCGAATCCCGGGCGGGACAATACTATACATTGTCATATAACACATGTGTAACGGAAACCTTGCGGAAACCCTTAGAAAGTGGGTAATTGTAAGTTTCCGTTATTGCGGAAACTCAATGTAAAAGAACGGAAACTCACTGGATTCGAGGTGGAAACTTAAGTTTCCGTCCACTTTCCATCAGGTTTCCGCATTGCGGAAACCAAGTTATTTTTGCTGTGACAAGTTGCATAATTTCTTGCATCATGGCAAACATACAGACAGGCATACAGCCAACTTTGATTTTATTCCAAACTATGTCTTTTTGAAGAATAATTCATCTCTGGAAGTGTTTACAATATCACCAGTTAACACTGTGCCACCAGCCAAATGTTAACGTACATGTACTCGGCTTTGCTTTTATTAGTGAAAACATTGTAAAGTAATATTCTAATTCAACTTAGTATGAAACACGAATTCTGATTGGTCAATGCTTTAAATTTCCGACCGCATAATCAGCATATACGGTCGCAATTTGAAAACCGATTCACGAAAACCTTTGAATGTATCCCTACACTATTGGGGTAAGGCTGTTTTTCAGGGCATTATCATTTGCAGAAGCCCTAGGTATGTTAATTCCCCTATTCCGCTAAAATGGATGGAATTCGTGTTGAAAAAGACAAAACAGTATCATAAATTTAATTGTAAGTTTACTTCAAACAACTCGCAACGGGCTGTTGACCCAACACTGTTAGATCATGTAATAAGATTTATGACGTCATTATGGAGCGTGACGTCACCTGCTGTGACGTCTTTTGACAACACACCTGATAATGGCCCGTCGTTAAGGATCAGCGGGCCATTGTCATTTGCAGCTGCCCGCTCTTTTCTGATATCTAGAGGGCGATAATTCATGATAATTCCGTCCATTTTAGCTTCAACACTATGGTTTATTCATCATTGTCAGATTTAGTCAGTGTGCACATGTTTAAGTTTGAAAAGTTAACTACTTTTTTCTGGCGATGGTGTAAGTTCAAGAAGTGATGTGATTAACCCTTTGACCAAGAGGAACTTTAACCTGGTTTAAATAATGAATTTCTTTCACACAAAAAACAACAAACAAACGGAATAAAAAGTGTTGAATAAGAATGGGGATAATTGTACTGTGTTTGACGAATTGGGGACGTATACCGGTGGTTATATTAGTAAACTAAATTTAACGTGGAGCCGATATAACGTTAAATTTGCGGTTGTATAACCAATTCGTCAAACAGAGTACAGTTATCCCCAAAATTTACCCTCATAATAAAAATCAGTGGACATGTTTGATATCTTGAAATACGTGGTGTATGCAAAAATGAATTATGTCTTTCTTTCTTTAGAACATACGACTACAAGCACCAAAAGCACTTCACCTCATACATTTTTACATAGAGATTTCTCGCTATTTCAAATATTTGTGTATTTTTCGAAACTTCTTTACGTCGATTATTTCTTGGCATGTCTTAGTTTATATTTTTAAGTTTTAAAATAACTTGTCCATGCGAGAAAAACGCAGATTTGAAATAGCGGAAAATATCAGATTAAAATAAATGTGACGGATATAGTGTAATACATACGTTTATTTCCTTACTCTTATTTCCTTATAGGTACAGTGGTGACGACACATGCAACGTTACCAACAACAGAGGCGTCCCCTTCAGAGCCAGCGACGGATCTTCTTGTGATCATCATACCTATCATCGTCATCATCATCATACTCTGTCTGGTGGCTGTGGTTGTCTACATAATGTAAGTGTACAGCTGACACAACCACTCATTCATCATACTCTGCCTGGTCATAGTGGCTGTGGTGGTCTGCATGGTGTAAGTGTACAGCTGACACAACCACTCATTCATCATCCTCTGTCTGGTCATAGTGGCTGTGGTGGTCTACATGGTGTAAGTGTACAGCTGACACAACTACGCATTCATCATACTCTGTCTGGTCATAGTGGCTGTGGTGGTCTACATGGTGTAAGTGTACAGCTGACACAACTACTCATTCATCATACTCTGTCTGGTCATAGTGGCTGTGGTGGTCTGCATGGTGTAAGTGTACAGCTGACACAACCACTCATTCATCATCCTCTGTCTGGTCATAGTGGCTGTGGTGGTCTACATTGTGTAAGTGTACAGCTGACACAACCACTCATTCATCATCTTCTGTCTGGTCATAGTGGCTGTGGTGGTCTGCATGGTGTAAGTGTACAGCTGACACAAATACTCATTCATCATACTCTGTCTGGTCATAGTGGCTGTGGTGGTCTACATTGTGTAAGTGTACAGCTGACACAACTACTCATTCATCATCCTCTGTATGGTCACAGTGACTGTGGTTGTCTGCATGGTGTAAGTGTACAGCTGACACAACTACTCATTCATCATACTCTGTCTGGTCAAAGTGGCTGTGGTGGTTTACATGGTGTAAGTGTTCAACTGACACACCTCCTCATTCATCATCCTCTGTCTGGTCATAGTGGCTGTGGTGGTCTGCATGGTGTAAGTGTACTGCTGACACAACTACTCATTCATCATACTCTGTCTGGTCATAGTGGCTGTGGTAGTCTGCATGGTGTAAGTGTACCGCTGACACAACTATTCATTCATCATACTCTGTCTGGTCATAGTGGCTGTGGTGGTCTACATAGTGTAAGACTACAGTTGACACAACTACTCATTCATCATCCTCTGTCTGGTCATAGTGGCTGTGGTGGTCTACATGGTGTAAGTGTACAGCTGACACAACTACTCATTCATCATACTCTGCCTGGTCATAGTGGCTGTGGTGGTCTACATGGTGTAAGTGTACAGCTGACACAACTACTCATCCATCATCCTCTGTCTGGTCATAGTGGCTGTGGTGGTCTGCATGGTGTAAGTGTACCGCTGACACAACTACTCATTCATCATACTCTGTCTGGTCATAGTGGCTGTGGTGGTCTACATGGTGTAAGTGTACAGCTGACACAACTACTCATTCATCATACTCTGTCTGGTCATAGTGGCTGTGGTGGTCTGCATGGTGTAAGTGTACAGCTGACACAACTACTCATTCATCATACTCTGTCTGGTCATAGTGGCTGTGGTGGTCTGCATGGTGTAAGTGTACAGCTGACACAACTACTCATTCATCATACTCTGTCTGGTCATAGTGGCTGTGGTGGTCTACATGGTGTAAGTGTACAGCTGACACAACTCCTCATTCATCATCCTCTGTCTGGTCATAGTGGTTGTGGTGGTCTACATGGTGTAAGTGTACAGCTGACACAACTACTCATTCATCATACTCTGTCTGGTCATAGTGGCTGTGGTGGTCTACATGGTGTTAGTGTACAGCTGACACAACTACTCATTTATCATACTCTTTCTGCTCATAGTGGCTGTGGTGGTCTGCATGGTGTAAGACTACAGTTGACAAAACTACTCATCATCATCCTCTGTCTGGTCATAGTGGCTGTGGTGGTCTGCATGGTGTAAGTGTACAGCTGACACAACTACTCATTCATCATCCTCTGTCTGGTCATAGTGGCTGTGGTGGTCTACATGGTGTAAGTGTACAGCTGACACAACTACTCTTTCATCATCCTCTGTCTGGTGGCTGTGGTGGTCTACATAATGTAAGTGTACAGCTGACACAACTACTCATTCATCATCCTCTGTCTGGTCATAGTGGCTGTGGTGGTCTACATGGTGTAAGTGTACAGCTGACACAACTACTCATTCATCATACTCTGTCTGGTCATAGTGGCTGTGGTGGTCTACATGGTGTAAGTGTACCGCTGACACAAATACTCATTCATCATACTCTGTCTGGCCATAGTGGCTGTGGTGGTCTGCATGGTGTAAGACTACAGTTGACACAACTACTCATTCATCATACTCTGTCTGGTCAAAGTGGCTGTGGTGGTCTACATGGTGTAAGTGTTCAACTGACACAACTACTCATTCATCATCCTCTGTCTGGTCATAGTGGCTGTGGTGGTCTGCATGGTGTAAGTGTACAGCTGACACAACTACTCATTCATCATCCTCTGTCTGGTCATAGTGACTGTGGTTGTCTACATGGTGTAAGACTACAGTTGACACAACTAATCATTCATCATACTCTGTCTGTTCATAGTGGCTGTGATGGTCTGCATAGTGTAAGTGTACAACTGACACAACTACATGTCCTGATTGAAACTTGTATGGCTTTTCACGGTCTGCACTGTTCCCAAAACGTCAAGGTGGAACGTACGTTCCTGTTATTTGGTTTTAAACGAAAAGTCGATCTGTCGACGAAAGGGATATTTAGACTTTCTTGTCTGATACTTTAACAATATTCTTTAACAAGACGAGGAAAAGAATTCATATTTAAGCATTCCGGATGCATACTATCGTTAAAAATTGAATTTCACAAGTTTCAAATAATTCTGCTTCTTTGAGTACACAATCACTTGTAGAAAGTGGTCGAATGGAAAATTGCTGACTTTGCGTGCTGACGATTAGGTTCCTGACTCTGGGAGCGTTTGTGGGAATGTGTGCTTTATTGATTAAGTGTAAATATATGACATATGTTGCACTGTGATTCTTTGCAGGCGCAAACGAAGACAGAGAAATAGTACCAACTTTGACGGTAGGTAATACTACAGCTTCTACGACTATGCAATACCATCAAACATAATGCCAAATACTGTTTTATAGTGAGCTGCACGTATTGCTTTAATGTGATCAAACTGTCTTGAGTTTGCATGCATCCTCGAGTATAAAATCTTCTTCTAGGCACCATCAGAAACAATTGTCACCATGATAATTTACTGTACTTAAATTATACTCAATATGAACCATCTATCCATTTTCATTGTTAACTTTTATGTATTTACAGTTCGCCAGAACACAGTAAGTACATTGATTTAGCTTCAGTATTGCTTCAGTGAAGGACAGTTGCATACATAATTCCTGTTTTCCAAATTATTAGTATCATGTCTAGATTTTGGTTTCCTTTAGAGCTGATTGATTAATTAGCATCTTTGAGTGGCATTTTTTAGAAGTTTGAAGTCAGATAGAACAAGTATAAATGGATGACAACTTCTTTTATTATAGAGCACGACGTTTCGATACAGGTTCTTGTATATAGTGAGTGTGTTAAAATTAACAGCCACGTCGGCAAATTTTAGGCATATTGTTTCTTTAATGAATTTAGTTTTCAATGTTTGAAAACTGTCAGTATAAGACTGGATAAAAGCCGAAAATATATCACAAAATTAGTTAGAACTAGTTTTAGAGCATTTTTCTTACTTGTGATTATGTTTTATGAATTTTAACTGATATTACTCTCCATATAATACGAACGACCTCAGATGTTTATTGGTACTGTGCAGAATATGTGAACTCGTAGGTCATAGTTTTTGTCGTGGAGTGGATCAACAGAGAATCAGGTTTATACAGAGAACAGATGAATGATGAATGAGATACATTTATCGAAACCGAATGGGGTACAGCTATATGAATGTAACAAGTAAATGTGACAAGTCCTGAAATGACGATATTAGTAACAGAAAATATACAGATTATATAATGTTCATTTCGCCTATGTAATGTCTTACTTTTCAACTGTCTTTGACAAAATTTATGTTTTACCCGTACAGCTCCACTAGAGCAAAGGGTGGCACGGGCCGGGTCTGTTGAGACTGCAATTCATTAGAAAGTGTAAAAGATGTTAGAGACGTTCCATCAACTGACAATCAGTGGAGTCCCTGATGCTCGGATCTGAATACAGGAAGCAGGGGTATGAACTAATACTGGTTGAGGATCTTGATAAAGTACGGTTATCAGATTGTCAGGGAGATGGCAGACACGTATGTTTGATATCTGATGACATATTTCAGATGACCGGGCCCCATTTGGATGTTCCTCTTGTTACACATCTTTTGTATGAGCTCCACCTGCACCTCAGGCCTGAAGGAAGATATGATAGTTACCAACATGAGTCGAAGGAGGAAGAAAAGATCGAACTGATTGCAAGTGATAAGGAAGCTATTGGATTCCCTCTTGTCTGCACACTTTTATCCAGTTATGCTGCCTTTCAAGAAAGCCATGGAACGTTCTTGAAGCATTTCGTGTCCACTCTTCTTTATATGGTTATCAGTCGGATGACTAGTCAGCTGCTCTGATCCTGTGGGTGGGGAAAACTCTCCCTAATGGCAACTCTGGATTCATTGACGGATGTAAATTCCCCTGGTAAACATGGTCAGAAAACCATAATGTATGAAGTATCATCTGGAAAAAACGAGATCTTCTTGTGTCACAGAATGCTGACATCAAACTGAGTGATGATGGCAACACCAGTCTCATTCATTTGACATGTCAGCCAGATGATACGTCAATTTTAGAGAATCTACTTTCACAGTTTGACATCAACAGACCAGGTCGACGCGGCTGGACACCGGCGATGAAGGCAGCTGTGAATGGAAGAAAGTATGTATATGACCTGTTTGTGAAGGAGAATGCAGATCTTAGACTGACTGATGACAATTAATCTCCTCCACTTTGCTTGCCACGGCGGAAATGTCTCCATTGTGACTCACATACTCCGACAATTTGACATCAACAGTCGTGGAGGCAACGGGTGGATGCCAGTGATGTATGCAGCTGTCAATGGACACAAGATTTTGTTCCACTTGCTTGCGTCCAAAGGGGGCTGATCTCTCTCTAAGGGATGACTACAACAACTCGAAAATGGGAGGAAATAGAGCCATAGTGAAGGATCCACTGCCAAAGGCCAATTTAGATAGTCAGGGAAACCTTGGGAGAACAAGTGTTATGAAGGCTGGATGGGCAGGCAATTCTGATGTTTTCAAACTTCTTGTGTCAAAGAACGCTGATATCAAAACACTTGATGACAGCAATGATACAATACTTCACCTGTCCAGCCTTTGTGGACTATTTGATAGGGAAAGGGTTTAACATAAATTGTCGTGGTGAAAATGACTGGACAGCGGTAATGAATGCAGACTTGTCTGGAAAGAAAAATGCTTTTGATCTTCTTGATTCAAAGCAGGGTTCCATGACTGTGTACAATGTCTACGGTGACACAGTACTTCACCTGGCGTGTGAAGGAGGAAATACATCCATTGTACAATCACTTCCGTTAACACTTGATGTCAACATTCGGAAAAAGAATGGCTGAACTCCAGTAATGGCTGCAGCAATAAATGGGAAGAATGACGTGTACGACCTTCTGGTGTCAAAAGAATGTTGACCTCAAACTGATTGATGATTTCAGTAACAGTTATCGAGTTTCTCCTGCAGCTGTTTGACATAACCGTTCCTGGAGAAGATGGATTTACACCATTAATGATGGCACTCTCAGTGGGAAGAAGGAGGCGTATGATCTGCTTGCAACAAGAGGGGCCGCTAATCCATTGCTTACCTCTAAGGGTGATAATGTTCTTCATGCTGTTTGTCAAGGGGGAAATCTGGTCAGACTCCTTTAATGAGGGCAGTCTGTGGCGGCCACATTGCTGTCTACAAATACCTGGTGTCAAGTAGTGCTGACCGCACGCTAGTGGACAGAGCCGGACACACTCTTCTACATCTTGCCACTCGCCATGGGCAGCTTGCTGTGTTGAAACACATAATTCATGGCTTTGATGTCAACACCCAGGACAATAAGGGCTTGACACCTGCCATGACGGCAGTACTGCATGGAAAAGCTGCAGTATTCAAATACCTGAAAGATAAAGGTACAGATGTGTCTATAGTTGACAACACAGGAGACTATGCCCTCGCTCTCGCTCTTAAACTTAGGAGCAGACAAATCATAACACAACTAGCCAGAAAACATGGTAAGAAAGTAACACCATGGAAAGAACTGATGAAGTCTCTGGTAAGAAGGGAACTAACGTTCCTGAAGACCTACAGTCCCGGGGAGTCCAGACCTTGTCCAGAAAGACCAAGCTGGAGACACATTACTCCATCTGGCTTGCCGTGGAGGCAACAGACTTTGTGTGGAGTATCTGCTCCCGTCCTATGACATCAATGTCCAAGGACGGTATAACTGGACACCGGTGATGATGGCGGCTGTGTGTGGACATGAGGATGTCTTCAAGCTACTGGTGGATGACAAGGCAGATCTCTCTCAGGTCTCAGCCACAGGAGAGGACATCCTGACTCTAGCTAGCCGGGCGAAGAATACAGCAATTATCACATACTAGGAAAAGCATGAGTGAACAGCAAGCTTTACCCCTACGGGCGGATAGTGGCGGACAGAAAGCATAATCTCACAGCAATGACACCAACGATATACTTGCCCGTGTAACAATAATATACAGGCCATTAAGGAAACCTCACTTGGACGTTATTCACACGAACATTTCTTAGGTTGTGTTCTTTGTTTTTAACACGCACGAGCGCACACACACGCACACACACACACATCCATCCCAATATTGGGAGATATCAAAGCACCTTTACTGAATACTTGAAAAACACAATCCAAATTGGGTATCCTGAAAATGTAAACCTCTTTCTAATTTAGATCTAACATTCACAATTCTGCAAATTGTAAATTGGCAGGCATCAAGTACCAAGCAGTTTTACGGAAATTTTCAAACAACACACCCATCTTTTTCACCTACGAATAAAGGTACTCTGAAACTTGATACATCGTTCAACATTGGACCTTACAATGAAATAGAGTGGAAGTTATAACCACAAGTTGCCCTAAACTGGGCCTGATCCACTATCCACCCATAACCGATACTCATATATATGACGAAATTATCATCCCACCAACCCACTCACATCATGGATACAGATAAGCAAGAAGAATTGTATGTGAGTTTATGCAATTGTAAAAACTTTCTTGAATATTTGCTTCAGTTTCTGCTCGCATTTATTTGTGAACTTCATGTACATACGATGTGTGTCGGACCCGTGATTACAGAGTTTCATATTGATTGGGATGAGTTTTATGGAGAAGCATGTGAACGCCCTACCATCCCCCCACCCTTAAATACTATGTATAAAGTACGTGTCCCCCACTGCATGTCATGTACAAAATCAACGACACCCCTCCCCCTCCCATTATATTATTTTCATACTGATGTTTACAAAATTGTTGACTCCCTATTACTTGAGTACAAGTATTATGACCCATCCTCCCAAGAACAGAATGGGTGGCTCCCATTATAACACACCCATCCCTCCTCTCATCTGAACAGGACATGCAGATTTAATGTTCCTGTCTAATGTACGGATACGTTGCAGTTCCTCACTGTGCAAAATCCTCGAAAATGTTCAGGCAATACACAAAAAACAAATACATTTTTTGTATATTATCTTGCCTTCTCAGAATTGGAGTAGGGGAAGTAACTCTGGTCAAATATCAAGAAACTCCTTTAACCAAAATTGAGAAAACGTGGTCAGCACCACGGAGTCATGTATCATTATAGTTAGAGAGCACCTGATAAAAGTCATGATGTACCGTTGGTCCCCGGCAAGGTGCTCTCACTTGGGTTACTGGTAGGTTGTAAACAGTTTTAAGCAGTTCTAACTCTTTTAGTTCAAATGTAGCTTTTAAATATAGCTTCGCAATCAGCAGGGTACACGTGTATACACGTGAAAACACGATCTCGTCAATTTAAGGCTGAACTATTGCTGATATGACGTTAAGGTTTATCTGTGTTGAAATTTTAGATTTTAAATTTTTGCTTTGCGATGCACAGATGCGTGGATGAACAATCAAGTGATTCACTTACATAGATGTGAAAGGGTCAAGCGCTTACTGCAAATGTTATGCTGTATGAATTTTGTGGACGATTCGGCATGGGGTCATAAATAAACGGACTTGCATGTTGGTTTAAACTATTAAATAGAACATGTAACTGACTTAATTAATAGTTTTCATATGATTTATGAAATCACGTATAGGTTGAAACTCTTACTGTTATAAAATACATTTTCTCGATTCAGTTTCTTTAATTAATTCATTGACAGCAGGTCAAGGCTGACTAATAAAGGAAGGTAAACACATGGTGTAACTCAGTCCTGTCTGTAGTCATGCTGATTTACCATGGGGGCCTATTTACATGCAGACAAGTGACATCACAAGAAGCTATTGTCTCGTCACAAACCCCTGTACAGTCAGCTATCCAAGGATACACTAGTTTGCTCTACCTACTACTATTCTGTACCAGCTCCGTCAAATCCAATCTGTGCTTATGGAACACCTCTGATTTGCTATCTATTTGTGTTATGGAAATAAAATATACCGAACCACAAAAGAAACGTCGCATTTCAAAACCAAATGTCAAATTTTGTTCTTACAAGGTGGTGTTTTTATTATGATTGTACCGTTTTGTTAACATATTTTTCAATCCAAATTGACAGTTATTTCCAATATCAGTGTGTTTTCTGATGAAATATCATATCGACCAAACGCAAAGAAAAAGTCAGACATGGTAAAAGGTTCCATATAACATTCGTGAAAATGAAAATGCACATGCATGGCGTGACAACCCTGCCAATGAAAGCGAGTCCCAAACTTGCCTGAAATCATTTTGGTTTTGACACAATCACCATAGCCACGACTTACGAGTGATCAGAGGAACCAAGTCTTTGGAAGATTGTAAGTTGTCCACACTGCACGGAGGGTAGCCAATCATTGTAATGTCCAAGTTAGGACAATCTACCGTCTGCAGGAGCGGTATCAAGTCACAAACAGCACCCGAGACCGTCCACGCAGTGGGCGACCTTCAGTAACATCACAACCGGTACCAACGTCAAGACCGACAGATTGTGCTCAACCATCTGCAGGATCGCCTCCCCAGGGCGACTAAAACAGCACACCAGACCATTGGGATCAGACACACAAGTGCCTCTGCTGTCACAGATCATACCGTAGTCTTGTCCTCACCTCTCATCACCGCCAAAACCGACTGCAATGGGCAACTCAGCATCGACAATGGAGAACTGTGCTTTTATCTCATGAAAACCGACATTGTGTTTCGACAGTCGATGGCAGAGTGAGAGTATGGTGAAGCCGTGGGGAACGGTTTTCCGATGAGTGTATTGTTGAAAGAGACTCGTGGATAGGTCCAGGCATCATGCTGTAGGGTGCAATCGGTCTGAACCAGTTAGGTGACACCGTGGTCTTACACAAATCACATCTTCCAGCAAGACAATGGTCGTGTCCACACTGCCAGAGAAACATTGCCCCCTGCTATATTCTGTACCAGCTCTGTCTAATCCAATCTGTACTTGTGGAACACCTCTGATTTGCTACCTGTTTGTGTTATGGAAATAATATATTTCAATAGCTGAATGTCGGACATGTCAAGGGCAGGCGCAGATGTGTGTCAAATGTGGCTTAATCGATTCCTGATGCTCTTTCTACATTGGACCATATGTTCCCTTAGCACATCAACAATTACCATGACTTTGCCTGTGTTTGTGACAGCTACCAGATGGAACAGAGTTACCTCCCCTGTCCCTGAACACCGACCATCATTGCATATACCTTCTATTCACAGGGGGATACCATGATCTCTTCTCTGCTCTAAGTATAATCATATTTACTCTGATATATCACTCCCTCCATTCTATTATATATTACAGGCTATGATAGTAGTGGTTAAGGTCCCAACGTGATATTACAGGAATATCGCTCAAAGCGGCGTAAAACCCAACTCACTCACTCAAACAATCATGGTGGTTTGGTCGTTAGGAGGGTGGGTGGGGTGCTTTTGTCTTTTCATAATGGCCTTGATATTATTACAAGGTCTGCCATACTTGGTATAGACATATATATTGTATTTATATCCCCTACTGTTCTTAAAAATGTCTATGATTTAAAGTAGTACTAGTCCAGAGATCACGTGACACATATAACCATCACTGTTACAAGAAATGGGAAAGAAAGTGGTATCAGCAGTTCTTCTTCAGATTGCATGGAAAGGAGCTAGCCCTCTCAACGTTAGTGATGGGCTGATAAACAAGTTTGGGGGTCCGGTGCTTCTGCCTGATGGGCAGTCTGACAGTCGATTAACGAATGGACGAGACTCTGTGTTATGAATTTAGAATCATACTGAGGATAATATGTAGTCATCCATCGCTGTCGATATTCCAGTGTTTAGAATTCGCGCCTGCCCGACCGTCCGGAACGGTCTGTTTTCATCTCGGACGGTCACATTTCAAAAGTAGCCTGTCCGGTGATCTGGTAGATGTTTTTGCCCCTAACAATAAATATTTCATAATATCAGACAGGTTCTCTTGTCGTCAGTTTGAGGTGTTTAAGGTATTATAATAATTATGTTAAACTATTTACGATTGGACAGTTCATGTTACAATAACCAATCACAACACATGTACTTTCAGTTTACCTAAACTCAGTGCATTGCCTGTTAGTGCTATGTTGTTCTTTGCGATGCCTACAAACAGTAAAGTATTCAGAAACCTGATTCTATTCATTGTTGAAAACCGGACAGGCAAGTTTGTATCCGGACTGGTAAGTTTTTTAAAGTCACCAGTGCGGCTGTCTGGCCTGGAAGTTTGGGAGTTTTCAACACTTGATATACACCAGTATCTTCTAGTTTGACAAGCAAAATTTATTCTAATTCATATTACACAGTCGGATCCACGCAGTACTTAATATACCAGTGCCTATTACATAGGTTTCAACATTGCCGAGTATCAGCGAGATACAACCTATAAATAATCTTATTAGACAGTCTGATAAAGACAATAATGTCAAAAACAACAACAACAACAACAAAACAACAACAACATTTATTCCATTGCCCGGTTGACAACATCGTACCAGCCTCACTCCCCTTCGACTGTTTTCTTCCTACTTCCTTCCTATCTCAAGAGCTCCTAATGGTTGCTTGTTCTGAAAAAGAGAGCCCCCCCCCTCAGCACGCTTACGTATTGGGGAAGGGAGTTAACTCACGATAAATGTCCAGTTCCCACCCGGGGAAAAGTAGGCTCGAAGTTTGTAGCACGATCCGCCAATGGCTATCAGGAGTTGTGTCCCTTGGATGTCCCTTTCTCTTGACCAATCAGATTCCTCCCTTTACTTGGGCAACTCATGCCTGTCGGAAATGTGGTCGGACACGCCCAGCTGGTCAATGCGTAGCATCGTATCCCAGGTTTGTAGATCGATGCTCACTAGACAGTCTGCACCGTCAATCAGCTCGAACATTGCTGTGCGCTG